AGCTCCAAATCTCAAAAGGACGCTCCAGCAAGACTAAACCAAATGGAAACTCAAGTCTGCCAATACTAAATCAAATTGAAACTCAGTTTCAGATCTCAAAAGGAAGCTTCAGCAAGAAATAAATCAAATGGAAACTCAGTTCCAAATCTCAAAAAAAAGCTCCAGCAATACTAAATCAAAGGGAAACTCAAGTCTACCAATACTAAATCAAATGGCAACTCATCCAAGTCCCACCCAGACTTTCAGGATTTCCGTAAAGAGGGTCCAGCTGACTGGTTCCATTGTTCACGGGGGGGAAGCATTAAAGAGGGTCCAACATTCGTCCATTCCATGCCATTCCATGCCATTCCATTCCATTCCATTCCATTCCGTTCATTCATGCATTCATTAATTAATTCATTCATTCATTCATTCATTCATTCATTCATTCATTCATTCATTCATTCATCTGTTGCATTCATGCATTTCATTCCACTCCATTCCGTTCCGTCCCATTCCATTCCATTTCGTCACTCATTCAGTCACTCATTTCATTTGCTTCAATGTTTATCTCATTTTCACTTGTTTCAGTTGTTTCACTTGTTTCATTCATTCATTCATTCATTCATTCATTCATTCATTCATTCATTCATTCATTCATTCATTCATTCATTCATTCATCTGTTGCATTCATGCGTTTCATTCCACTCCATTCCGTTCCGTCCCATTCCATTCCATTTCGTCACTCATTCAGTCACTCATTTCATTTTGCTTCATTGTTTATCTCCTTTTCACTTGTTTCAGTTGTTTCGCTTGTTTCATTCATTCATTCATTCATTCATTCATTCATTCATTCATTCATTCATTCATTCAGTCATTCATTCATTCATTCATTCATTCATTCATTCATTCATTCATTCATTCATTCTTTTCATTTCATTTCATTTCATTTCATTTCATTTCATTTCATTTCATTTCATTTCATTCATTCATTCATTCATTCATTCATTCATTCATTCATTCATTCAATCATTTCATTCATTATTCATTCATTAATTCATTCATTCATTCATTCGTTCATTCATTCATTGATTTAATCTATTCGTTGAACCAATTTTGCTTCATTCAATCATTGATTCATTCGTTCATTGATTCATTGGTTTGTTGATTCATTGACTAACTGGTTCGTTCGTTCATTCATTCATTCATTCACTCATTCATTAAATCATGCATTCATGCATTCTCATTCATTCGTTCATTCATTCGTTCATTCAGTCATTCATTCAATCATACGTTCTTTCATTCATTCATTCATTCCGTCAGTCAATCAGTCAGTCAGTCAGTCAGTCAGTCATTCATGCATTCATTCACTCATTCGTTCATTGACTCGTTCATTTGTCCATTCCATTCCATTCCGATCCGTTCCATTCCATTCCATTTCATTCACGCATTCACTCATTTCAGTTCGTTTCATTTTATCTCCTTGGAGTTTGCTCATTCATTCATTCATTCATTCATTCACTCATTCATTTATTCATTCGTTCATTAATTCATTCTTTCATTTATTCATTCAGTCATTCATGTCCATTTCATTTCATTTTGTCTCACTTCATGTTCACTTCATTTCAATACACTTCATGTCCATTTGATTTCATTCCACTTCATGCTCATTTCACTTCATGTTCATTTCATTTCGCTTCATTTCATTTAAAGTCCTTTCATTGCATGTCAAATAATCTCATTTCATTGCATTTCATGCATTCAGTCAGTCATTCATTCAGTCCGTCAGTCAGTCATTCTTTCAAGGACTATTTCTTTCATTATGTCTTTCTTTCTTTCATTCATTAATTCATTCATTCCTTCATTCATTCCATTCACTCATTCATTCCATTCATTCATTCCATTCATTCATTCATTCGTTCATTCATTCCTCCATTCATTCATGCATTCATTCATTCATTCGTTCATTCGTTCGTGCGTTCATTCATGCACTCCTGCATTCATTCATTCATTCATTCATTCATTCATTCATTCATTCATTCATTCATTCATTCGTCCGTTCACTAATGCGTCCGTTCATTCATTCATTCATTCATTCATTCATTCATTCATTCATTCATTCATTCATTCATCATTCATTCATTCATTCATTTTGTTCATTCATTGCATTCATTCATTCATTCATTCATTTCATTCATTCATTCATTCATTCATTCATTCATTCATTCATTCATTCATTCATTCATTCATTCATTCATTCATTTATTCATTCATTCATTCATTCATTCATTCATTCATTCATTCATTCATTCATTCATTCATTCATTCATTCATTCATTCATTCAATTCATTCATTCATTCATTCATTTCATTCATTCATTCATTCATTCATTCATTCATTCATCATCATCATCATCATTCATTCATTCATTCATTCATTCATTCATTCATTCATTCATTCATTCATTCATTCATTCATTCATTCGTTCATTCGTTCGTGCGTTCATTCATGCACTCCTGCATTCATTCATTCATTCATTCATTCATTCATTCATTCATTCATTCATTCATTCATTCATTCATTCATTCATTCATTCATTCATTCATTCATTCATTCATTCATTCATTCATTCATTCATTCATTCATTCGTCCGTTCACTAATGCGTCCGTTCATTCATTCATTCATTCATTCATTCATTCATTCATTCATTCATTCATTCATTCATTCCCCTCCATTCGCACTCCACGCCCGCATCCACGTCTGCGTCCACGTCCACGTCCCTGTCCACGTCCGCGTCCACTCCACTCCACTTATGTGTGTGTGTTTGATTTGTGTGGTTTCCGTGCGAGGTTTCGTTGTTTGCAGGGAGCGGTGTTGCTTTACCTTTACAGGGCGTGCGCCAGGACCATCCCCCAAGCAGGAAAAAACAGTTTCAAAATTGTTGTTTCAGTACAGTTTTATGCAATTTGGGAACTGCGCCAAAACTGCACCACGGAGTGGAACATGGATGTGGAGTGTCAAGAGTGGAGAGTGGACAGTAGAGAGTGGACAGTGGAGACTGGATAGTGGAGAGTGGACAGTGCAGAGTGTGGAGTGGAGTGGAGTGGAGTGGAGTGGAGTGGAGTGGAGTGGAGTGGAGTGGAGTGGAGTGGAGTGGAGTGGAGTGGAGTGGAGTGGAGTGGAGTGGAGTGGAGTGGAGTGGAGTGGAGTGGAGTGGTGGAGTGGAGTGGAGTGGAGTGGAGTGGAGTGGAGTGGAGTGGAGTGGAGTGGAGTGGAGTGGAGTGGAGTGGAGTGGAGTGGAGTGGAGTGGAGTGGAGTGGAGTGGAGTGGAGTGGAGTGGAGTGGAGTGGAGTGGAGTGGAGTGGAGTGGTGTGGAGTGGAGTGGAGTGGAGTGGTGTGGAGTGGAGTGGAGTGGAGTGGAGTGGAGTGGAGTGGAGTGGAGTGGAGTGGAGTGGAGTGGAGTGGAGTGGAGTGGAGTGGAGTGGAGTGGAGTGGAGTGGAGTGGAGTGGAGTGGAGTGGAGTGGAGTGGAGTGGAGTGGAGTGGAGTGGAGTGGAGTGGAGTGGAGTGTGTCAATGTGAGTGTGAGTGTGAGTGTGAGTGGGAGTGGGAGTTGGAGTGGGAGTGGGAGTGGAGAGCGGAGAGTGGAGAGTGGAGAGTGGAGAGTGGGTGGAGAGTGGAGAGTGGAGAGTGAAGAGTGGAGAGTGGAGAGTGGAGAGTGGAGAGTGGAGAGTGGAGAGTGGAGAGTGGAGAGTGGAGAGAGGAGAGTGGAGAGTGGAGAGTGGAGAGTGGAGAGTGGAGAGTGGAGAGTGGAGAGTGGAGAGTGGAGAGTGGAGAGTGGAGAGTGGAGAGTGGAGAGTGGAGAGTGAAGAGTGGAGAGTGCACAGTGCAGAGTGGAGAGTGGAGTGTGGGGTGTGGAGAGTGGAGTGGAGTGGAGAGAGTGGAGAGTGGAGAGTGGAGAGTGGAGAGTGGAGAGTGGAGAGTGGAGAGTGGAGAGCGGAGAGTGGAGAGTGGAGAGTGGAGAGTGGAGAGTGGAGAGTGGAGAGTGGAGCAAAGAGTGGAGTGGAGAGTGGAGAGGAGAGTGGAGAGTGGAGAGTGGAGAGTGGAGAGTGGAGAGTGGAGAGTGGAGAGTGGAGAGTGGAGAGAGTGGAGAAAGTGGAGAGAGTGGAGAGTGGAGAGTGGAGAGTGGAGAGTGGAGAGTGGAGAGTGGAGAGTGGAGAGTGGAGCGGAGAGTGCAGCAGAGAGTGGAGTGGAGAGTAGAGTGGAGAGTGGAGTGTGGAGAGTGGAGAGAGTGGAGTGGAGAGAGTGAAGTGCGAAGTGTGGAGTGGAGTGGAGCGGAGAGTGGAGAGTGGAGAGTGGAGAGTGGAGAGTGGAGAGTGGAGAGTGGAGAGTGGAGAGCGGAGAGTGGAGAGTGGAGAGTGGAGAGTGGAGAGTGGAGAGTGGAGAATGGAGAGTGGAGAGTGGAGAGTGGAGAGTGGAGAGTGGAGAGTGAAGAGTGGAGAGTGCACAGTGCAGAGTGGAGAGTGGAGTGTGGGGTGTGGAGAGTGGAGAGTGGAGAGTGGAGAGTGGAGAGTGGAGTGGAGAGTGGAGAGCGGAGAGTGGAGCAGAGAGTGGAGCGGAGAGTGGCGTGGAGAGTGGAGAGAGGAGAGTGGAGAGTGGAGAGCGGAGAGGTGGAGAGTGGAGTTTGGAGAGTGGAGTGTGGAGTGTGAAGACTAACATCATACGTTCCTGAATGGAAATGCAAATGGAAACAAAACGGCTGCCAAACAAATGTCGCAGAGCATGCCGTTAACATGGCAGGCTGTCCAGATCCGACCAACTTCCAACTTGTTGCAACGGTAGCTCATTGACAGCAAACTTGTTGGCACACCGATTCCCGTGCGCTTCAAATAGAGCCCGGACAGTTATGTTTTTGACACGCGACTGCACACGGGCAAGTTTCCACAAGCGGTTGCAATGTGGCATTTGGCAACGCTTGCTGGGCTGGCTGCGTAAAACGGTCACACACGGGCGGCGCGGGCCTTCTGGCCATTGTGCCCTCCAGCAATGTACAAAGACCCTGCCTTGTCAACACCACAAGACCAAGACTTAGCTTCCCTCGCCACGAGTGCTACGAAGCAATGGTGCGCTTTGCAGCTGGGCGCACGCACCACTGCAGCAGCTGCCACCCCAAATCGGTGCCTCGAATCAAAACTTAGGGGCGCTGACGCATTGACGCTCCGCGAAGCTCTGTGACTCACGACGCTTCGTGTGAACAAGCGCGCGCCTTGGGACTGGCGCTACCGTGGACCAGCGACATGTGACAGGATCAAATACCTCCACCTCAGCGAAGGCTTTGCAAGAGCCAAGAGCCGAACTGCAGCCAAAAGGCAATCATGTTCCTGTCTGCGTTGACACCTGTCAGATTGCAGTCACATTGTCCATCCGGAAGCGATTTTCTGAAACTCACCACCCATTCTGGCCTACTGCGTAGATGAAACCGGAGAGCTCCGCTGCCGCGCCTTAAGTTACACCCTTTCCTCCGCAGCTGAGTCTTAAAGCCGAGCGGGTTTCCGAGCCAATAATTTTCTGAGTTTGGGTACGCTTTTACCTAGAACTGACTCTTTCAGGCCTGCGCCTTGAATAGCAACAATGTGGCACAATCTTTGAGAGCAGCACAGCCAAGGGGCGCCAAAGGCATGGGCGGCAAGGCCTGCTCGCAGCCAAGAATTTTTAGAGACATCCTTCCACATTCGGCCTTCTTGACTTGCTGGCTTGTTGAAAGAAAACTACCACCCCCCGATAACCATGTCATACCAACTTGCCTTGGCTTCCCAGCAACTTCGGCAGCTGTGCTGATGTTTCCTTTCAGCCCCTCAGCACTCCCGCCGCTGAGTAGAACAGGGCGGCCAGCAGGTGATGAGCAAGAATCTCAAACTGCAGCCTGCCTGCCACTTGTTTGTGGACGTGCTGAAGCCTCGTCGTAAGGAAAAGGCAAGCTTTTTTCGCAGGACCTCACTATATCAACAGATTTCAGGCACGAGTGAGGAACGTTGACAGGCATAAGGCGGTTCGCATGCTCTAGCTCATTGTTGTAAGGCGCGCCTTGAGTTGAAACGCGAAACCGTTTTCTCAAAAAAGTCCAGGCAAGGATGAGCGCGACGTCAAATGTAACATGGCAGCCACCTCCGACAGATCATGGCAATGCCACGGGACCGACCAAAAATCACACGACAAAAAATCTGATCTGACAACGCCGCAGCAGCACCCATGCGCGGTAGTCTTGGGCAACAGGCACGCCGAAACCCCTGTAGCGCCCCGGCGTTCTGTGGGCAGCGCTGCGCGGCTCTCTGAACGGCCGCCAAGAACATGCAGAGCGCCTGCAGCATTCAGCATACTCAAAGCAATAGGCCACTGGGAACGACAACTCTGAGACGGCCCTTGCTCTCTGTCGGTCATGGTTTCTGTGTGCGTGGTAGCGAGCTGCGTTTCTAGCAAGTTGAGGTGGGTTTCCAGGGTTTCCGTTGGGGGCGAACATTGCCAAGCCGCATGTGTCCGCACGCAAGCACTCCAAAGACTGCTTAGTCGTGCTCCATGGCTTCAAGGGACACCAGGTGAAACGCCGCCAAATCTGTCGGGCCAGCAGACCATGCTTCGGGTGGCGGGCCAGCGAACCAGCGGGGCTCCGACTTGCGACCACAGCGCGATCTTTTCGCGGAGGCGTCAGGCGAGGCTCGTTGGAGGCTCTCTTCCGAACAAGTCCACATCAGTAGATGACTGAATCAGGGAAGGAACGGGATTGCCTCAAGGTGTGATTCCTTCGGACAGCGGGACAGGTGTTGTTGCGGAAAGCCGCCATCATTTTCTCACCGGCGTTTTGCTTTTTGATTGCTGCTAGCTACTGAACAATGTTGGGCGGACACACCCCACGCCCCTGATTTCTGCCAAGGATGCGCGCGTCTTGTTCGGTCTGTTGGCAGAATTCAGGGCTGGGGCAGAAAGACGAACCAAGAAGGAACACCTCGGAGTTGAAAGAGGTTTTGGAAAGTGACGCGCCGCGTACGTGGGGGTCAATGCACCAAAGGCTCGCAAGCCGCGTGATCCTTGCAGCGCCAAAATCAGGCCCGGACGGCTCCAACCTCTCGGGCGCCAGCAGCCTGAAAATCAGCCAGGCTGAAGGGTTCCTCGTTCAAGGGCTGTGGAAAAAGGGAGACTCATTCACACATCAACACGAACCTATCAATAACAACAAGCAGAACCAACTAAAGGGAACCCCGGGCTGGACAGCGCAAAATGCTTAAGCAGAGGTGAGGGTGAAAACACATTCTTAAGTAGAAGGTGTTCGGCGCGTACTTTGCTGTTACGAAAGCTTCAGCTAGACTCTACTTGACAGGCAGGCCCTGATGTCCTAATTGCTTGCCGCGTTTCAGCCCCAAAGCGTTTTGGCTTCTTGCCGTGCATCAGACAATAGCCAAGCATGTGCACTTGGCTAAAGCGTGGGCTTAGTGGCTGAAGAACGAGCTACGTCGCCCACGCGTATTTGTAATGGAAAAACTGTCGCCAGCCATTCTGCGGAGGCTGTGTGAAAGAGGCGCTTCGGGGTAACCGGAATATGCCTCAGCTGGCGCTCGCATTCTCTTTGGGTGAACCAGCAACTGCCGGGGCCGCTGCCGAACTGTTGTGACCAGATGTTGCAGTCCTGGCGCTTTCTGATGTATCCATTGCGCTGCTTGTTCAGCAATGTCTACCAGTGAAACTGGTTTGCGCTCGCAGGAGTCTACTTCCCAGGATAGCTTCCCAAACCAGGCTCATCTCACAGCCAAGACAGATCAACACCGTCATGGAAACGGTCAATGAGTTTCGTGATTCACTGAATCGAGAAGAGGAAGTTGCGCGGCCGTCGAGCATACGGTCAGAGAACATGGACAAATAAGGAAGCATCGTCGCAGGCCGCTCGCTGCCAAAGCGTTCTTTCTGGCATCGGGTCTCAAGCAAACTCTGAAAGATCCAAACACTGAAGAAATGATAGTGGGGCATCGCCGGCAGCGGGAAGACGCACTAGCACAGAACCGCCTTCCGCGTGCATCAACGAGCCCAAAGAGGCGCTTGCGACAAGGGCGAGTGTTGCTGCACGGTGCGCGAAAAGCAATCAATGAGAACTGCGAACAGCCAAGCCGCAGGCTTGAGAGATGAGCAGAGTGAAGAAGAGAGCCGGGTGGCGCTGCTCCCATGCCGCCGAGAAAGGGCTTTCAACGACTCCTGAAAAGGCTACAAGACGATGATCCCGTGATGTCAAGTTGAGATCCTGACTAACCTTGCGGATGTCACACCTCCCCCAAAGGCGCAGCAAGAAAATACAATGAGCAACTCAGCGAGAAAACTTGCGAGCGCAGAAGCAACTGGAACGCACGACGTGCTGGAGTATGAGAGGCGCCAGCCTGACGCCAAACTGCAGAACTGCACGTGTTCGTCCCCGCCAGCAAATTTCAGCTTCGAAGCTTCGAAGGTGGTCAAGACCCGGGTTGGCCAAGAAGGTCAAAAACAAGACCGTGATGAGGCAGGTCATGGCAGAGCGGCTGCAAGTGGCAAGTGACTATGGAATGTGTGTGGCGCGTGACGAACGTAACTTTCAAACTTTCAAACCATGTTACCACTACCAACCATGTTACCACTACCAGATTGAGGCTACGTGTCTTCGTGAAGCCCGTGAGCCTGGCAGTTCAATTGCTTCGCCGTTGTTCAGGCAGCGGAAGACCTGCATCAGCAACGAGAACGAACAGCAATTGGATAGTGGGTGTTGGGCAAACTATGTGCGCGTAGTATTCCGCGCTGTTGGCCGGGAGAGCTGAACCTCTGCCCTGAATGAGGGATGTCAGAAAATCCTGAGCCCTGGCGCTATTCTAGGAAGGTTTGATGCCCTAACTGCGCGTGGCTTTCAGGCCCCAAAGATCGGGGAGCTCGACGCGACCTTGTGTGAGACAATTGCCAAACATGTACGTCTGGCTCAAGCGCGAGCTAAGCGGCCCAAGGACGAGCCAAGTAGCTCATGTTTGTAGAGGCAACGACTGAGCCCTCGTGTCGCAGGCCCTCCTGCGGCGGATCAGCGCAACCTGGCTGGGAAGTTATCACAGGCTTTCTGTCTTATTTGGATTTCAGTACTGCGTGTGGGGATGTTCCGCCTCTTGACACATGACATGTGCTTGCCAAGAGCGCAAGGAAGAATGAGTGCAGAGATCAGCAACACTGTCAAGCAAGAGAAAACACAACGCGCAAAACAAAACAACCAGTCAAAGCCTCGTTGGTTGAGAAAGTTAGCTTCTTTCTTGGAGGCTCACCATGGAAAAACCGCATCTGTTCGCCAAGGGTGTCTCACGCACGCGCGCTCGCACGGCCTCGCCCACTGACGAGTCAGGTAGCTCTTGAGCTCTCAGCAAAAAATACCATTGTAGCGGATAGTATGTAGAGTTGCATTCTCAAGTTGCGCTTGTTGGGGAAGAGCTTGCTGTTAAGCGTTTTGAACTTGCGCTTGCGTCTGTCAAACCTGTTGGCTACCGCTTTCAAATTTGCAGAAGTTTTGGCATCTCCGACACCTGTTGCTGCAAAGATGACTTTGAAGAGGCGTCCCCGAGCCGTGGTTGTTGACACCTTCCTGCAAGAATGACCTTGAAGCAGTGGCTTGAGGGTGAGACCCAAGGCGTAACTGAGCTTTCAAGCGGAAACCAGGCGAGGGTTGCTAAATATTACCATGTTTTGCAAATGTGTCCGCCAAGATCTGGCCAAGATTTGCAGCAAATAGTTTTCAAAAATAGCGACCCTCTTGCAAAATCAGCTTCCAAGCGGCCAAAACCACAGGGTTGCTGCTAAGCATTGCTGTTTTGCAAGCGCGTTCGCCAGAAGCGCTGCAGTTTTTGTTTGTGATGCGTGGACAGCGGACTGACGAGTTTTTTCCAACACCTGCCGCTGCAGAGATGGTTTTGAAGCAGTGGCGCTTTGAACTGAGAAACTTTCAGGACAGGCTGCCTAGAAGGCACTCCTGCCAGTTGGTTTACTTGTTTGCCCATCGAATCTGAGACCCTGTCAAAAGGCTTGCTGCGCGCGGAATGAGATAAGGTCAGGCATTGCCTGGCAGCCTCGAAATCCTGGGGCGAAAAGCAAGCGGGCATGTGTGTGTGTGTGCGTGTGTGTGCTGCGCGTGGGGTTTGCTGCCCTACAACGCGCCATCTTGTTTTCTGTCGTCTGGTTGTCCTCCCGGATCCTTGCGGCCGGGTCCAAACATCAGCTCGCGCGCAAAGGCCCTGTCTGTTCGCCATAGCGCCCAAGAGGCATAAACGCAGCGCTTGTAGCGCGTGTCACAGGACACAGGCTGGAGACACGCAAGTTGCCTGGCGCAAAAGGAAACTGCGGCACAAGTCTCGCGCCATGACCTCGGGCAAAGCTGGAACATAGAACGACCGGTCACGTTAGTTTTCAGGGGTTCATGAGCGGGTTGCTCGGCTGGAACACGCTCACTCTCCAGCAAAGAAGCAGCGTCTGGATGCTGCCCACGCCGACCGGCAGGAGTCCTCTCAGGCAGGGATGGCAGCAGCGCAGTGGCTGATTGTCAACAAGTTCGCCACTGCGCAGAAGTGTGAAATCTGCGAGCGATCGTCTGTGCGCCACACAAGCTGCCTCCCAGACATGGCCGACTGCCGATTGTATTCTGGAGACGCACACGCAACGCGACAGAAGACGCAGCCATCTGTTTTCTCTGGCCTGCAGGCGGTGCCGCGCACGCGCCGCGCGCTCTACATGAAGTTCGGCGCGCCTCAGGCGAAATCTCCCAAGAGCTGAAGAACCCTCTTCGATCTCCTTGGCCAGCTTCGCCAATTTCGCACGATTCGCAAGCTCCAGCGCAGCCAGGAAGCGGTCCACTTGCGTGGGTTCCCCCGCCGATAGACTGCCTGGTCACTACGCGCCATCGATGCTTGTTTCCACCATTACGCACACCACACCCCCTTGATTGCAAGAGAGGGCGAACTTTGGGAAAAGCTTTCTTCAACTGCCGGCAGCTCTTTGAATTGCGGAACCCGCTCAAGAAGTTACCGCGCGCTTGCGGCAAACCCGCAGCGTGGCCAAGCGCAACTGCCCTCATAGGACACACTCACGCGACAGACATGGCGAGTGGCTTCGCAGCCCCCTCCTTTCTGACGCAGCAGCGGGAGGCATTCTTACCCGCAGGGGCAGAGTTTTGCTTTCTGGCATTTCTCTTGCAGGACATTTAGTTGGCGCGGTGCTTTACCTCGGCCATTTGCCCCCCTTCGCGCAGATCATTTCCCGCCTTGCTGCTAATGCGGCAACAATTCTTCCATCGGTCGTGATGAGCAAGTTCATTTTGTTCCAACCTTCATGCAACGGTGCGTTGAACCCCAGCCACAGCGGGGCTTTGCTCCAATCTGCTCATCCGTCCATCCGTCCGTCCATCCATCCGGGCACACGCAAGTTCGGGGCGTGGGTGTGGGGGTTGGTTTTTCCTCTTGGATCTGCGCTGGTGCTAAAGACATGCACAGTCATGTGCCCCTGCCACGGGCAGCCACTGCAGCACACCTGGATCGCGCCATCCTCAGCACCCAGACCGACGAAGCTCAATCTGTGCTCCTAAAAGGATTGCGTGCTAACAAGCACCAGCAGATTTACACCCAATAGACGAAGCCCCTTTGCAAACCTTTTCAAAAAAGAAACAACACCTTTACACCCTGCCCCCTGCCTGCCGACAATGGCCAACAAAGATAGGCTTTCATACGCGTACGGTTTGCGAGCAAGGTTCCGAAAGGTTCAACAGGACTGCTGGAGGACTTGCGGGGCCCTTCTTTTGAAACTGAGCGCCCTTTGCGTAATTCTGCTGGCGCTGACAAGCCACAGCCAAAACAAACTGCAGCAACTACCCGGTCTCCACCCAAACGCATAGCGCAGCTCAATGGAAGGCCGGCAAAGAACGCAAGCACTTCTGATGAACGGCTCTACGAGACTGAAGGTGGCAAACACTGACACACCAACGCATAACAGCTCTCGCCCTCTCTTGAATTCGCTTCCAAAACTACACCGCGCTGCGTCGCGAAGTTTTTGTAAAGCCTGCTAGCTCGACGGCACCCCCTCTTGAGCCGCTGGCAACAAATCTGGCAGTCGCGTCCAGCGGTTCAGTGATGGGTCGAAGCGCTCAGCAGACGCCACGGTCTACACAGCGGCCAGGCAGCAAAACGGCAGGGTCGCACAACTCTTCACTAGGATGAAAAGCAAGGCGGGCCTTTTGTCCGTCGTGGCCTCCGACCTTGGCTGCACATTAAGCGCTCCTCACATGAACGCCTTCACGCGCAAACCAAATTGAGCTGAGGCGTGGGCCACATAGAGCCTTAAACAAGCAACATAGACAACACAACTGGGAGGTTGCGCTATTCTTAAACCCTGTCACAACCACGAGTTCTGGGGCTAGGCGCGCAGCTGACCGTTGACTGTCGCTGCAGCGCAGCCGTAGCGCTTGACCGTCATGGGCGGCACAGCGCGCCACTGGCAAAAGCCGCGCGAAAATCGCTTTAAAAACGAAAGACCCCACAATCGCTTACTGCCCCAGCTGCAACCTTTCAAAGCATTGTTACTACGACCCGCGTCGCAGTCGCGCACTCCGTCTATCCTGGTCATCCAAAATTGCATGTTTTATTTCAAGCACCAACGATCGACACCGAGCCGCTGCCTACCTCGCCATGGAGAGGGCTGAAACACTCAACTGTTGCCAGCGCAGGCGAAGAATCATTCTTACCTGAGACGAACATCATGACATCGCTTACCCCCAGCATGTTGAGCAAACGGGAGAGGCTGGAAGAATACGCAAGAACTGCTTCTTGCAGCGCTCTGTGAGTGTTTTTCTTCTCAAACAAGGGTTGGGTTCGGCCGCGTGGCAAGCGCGCAGGGTCACAAAAACTGTATATCGCAAAACGCGCAGCAAAAAGCCAAAACGCAAAGGCTTGCCACACCCTACATCTGTAAAGCATTTCACCAGCCAGCGCTCAAGCCCATCAAGCGAACCACGTGTAACAATCACAACACACGCCAAACAAGCGCCCACCAAACAAAAGGCAGCCGGCCTTGTCTTCTGCTAAGCCAGCAAGTGCAAAAAAGAAAAGTAATTGCGAAACAACACTACACACATACCAAAATCACACTAAAACATACACCTTACCATACCGTGCCATACCAACACATATCAAGCACTTACACAAAGTGTAACACTGCAAACTGCCAATGTGCGTGTGTGTAAAGCTTCCTGACTTCTCAAGCTCAAGGCCGCTTGCCGCATTGAACTGAATGCGGCTCTCTGCGCTAGCCCCGCCGTGTTGCAGAGACCACCCAAGATCAACACCGCCGAAAACCCACAACACGCCTTGCTATTATGTTCCTTCTTTGCGGCAGGCTGGAGACCCTCCTCTTAACACCCATGAGGAGATTTTGTCACTGACGCTTCTGAGCGAACGCTTCTAACAACTTGAGCAACACGTCTGAACACCAGTATAAGCGGTATATTGAACTACGCTCCTAAGCAACACCTCTGATTGGCACACCTAAGCATCAAGCGACAATCCTGAAGCCATACTTCTGAGCGACAAACTACAGCAAACTGAGCGACACTCCAACACACAGACAGAAGCGACACGTCTGGGCAACACATCAAGCGATACTTCTACGCACAGATGAAAGAGACGCTTCTGAGCAACACTCTTGAGCGACAATTCGAGCAACATGTCTACGGACATTCCTGAGCGACACTGTTGAGTTTCAGCCACACTTCTGTTCCACAAATCTGGGCAGCATATTGAATCAGAGAAACACTTCTGAGCGACACTGCTGCTCGACACTTCTGATCTACAGTTTTGAGCGACACTTCTGAGCAACGCTTCTCACCCACGCGTCTGACCGAAACTGCTGAGCGGCGCTTCTGGGCAACACTTCTGAGCGGCACTTCCACACACACACATAAGCGACACTTCTGAACCACACTTCAAGCCAGACTTTCTCACGCGCGCACACACACACGCACACACACGCATGTGAGCAACACTTCTGCGCAACGGCCCTGAGCGACACACACTCATGTCTGAGCGACACTCCTGAGAGACACTTCAGAGCGACACCTCTGAGCAACAGTTCTGAGCAACATTTCTGACCGACTCTGAGAAACATTTCTGAGCAACAATCCTGATGGAGACTTCTGCGCGACACTTTTTAGCAATACTTTTAAGCGGCACTTTAACACGCACACATACACACACGCCGCACACGCGCACACGCACACGCACACGCGCACACACACAGACACGCGCACACACACACACACACACGTGTGAGCGACACTTCTGAGCACCACTGCCGAGCGACACTTCGAGCCACATTTCTACACGCGCATCTGAGCGACACGTTTGAACGACACTCCTGGGCGACACTTCTGAGCGAGATTTCTGCGCAACATGTCTGATCGACTTTTCTGAGCGACACTTCTGAGCAACACTTCTGATCGACACATCTGATCGACAGCGACACTTCCGGGAAACGCTTCTCATCCACACTTCTGACTGACACTGTCGCACGACACTTCTGAGCGACACTTCCGGGTAAAACATCTGATCGATACTTCTGATGGACTCTTGTGATCGACAGCGACACTTCTGATCACGCATCTCACCAACAATTCTGATCAACACTTCTGCATGACACTTCTGAGCAACACTTCCGAGCAACAGTTCTGATCGACACGTCTGATGGACACTTCTGAGCGACACTTCTAGACCAGCAAATCGAAACTCCTACACCCACATAAGCAACACTTCTGAGCAACACCTCCAACAACACTTTACACAAACACACGCACGCGTGTAGCGACCTTCTGGGCAACACTCCTGAGCGACAATTTGAGCCACATTCACACACGCATATCTGAGCGACACTTCTGATTGAGAGACACTTCAAACACTTCAAAGCGACACTTGCAAGCAACACTTCTGAGCAGCATTTCTGCTCAGGGCTGTGGGAAATGACCACTTCTGACAACAAAAAGCCTCCCAAAGACCAACCCCATATAAAGCGGGGAGATCCATGTGTCACAGAAGTGGGGATAAACCCCTTGATCGCACAACCCTGTTTCTGATCGACTCCTGAGCGACACTTCAGAGCAGCACCTCTGAGCAACTGGGCAAAAATTCTCAACTGTGCTCCTAACGGACACTTCTGACAACACGTCGGAACGGCACTTCCTCTCGAGCGACGATTCGAGCGACCATTCTAAACGTGCGACACTTTTGAGCGACGCCGCTGAGCGACGACTCTGCGCATGAGCGACACCCGTGAGCGACACTTCTGGCAATACCCTGAGGGGCCGACCCATTTCTGCTCGACAAATTTGCAACACGTCTGAGTGACACGCCTGACATGTAAGCGACACTTCTGATCAACACGTCTGATCGACACTTCTCAGTTTTTTCTGATCAAGTGTTGCTGCGGGGCGCCACTCAGACGCGTCGCTCAGACATGTTGCTCAAATTGTCGCTCAGAAATGTGTTGGCCCAAGGGCGTTGCCCAAAGTGTTGCTCAAGGTGTCGCTCGCTGCTCAGGGGCGTCGCTCAGACGCGGTAGTTCTGACCGACACTTCTGGTCAACACTTCAGGGCAACACTTCCACGCACACGTCAGGGGTTACCTCAAGCGACAGTCTTAAACACACACACAGACACACAGACACACACACACACAAACACACACACACACACACACACACACACACACACACACACACACACACACACCCACACACACACACACGCACGTGCGCGACACTTCTGAGCAACACTTCTGATCGATACTTCTCAGTATTTCTGATCAAGCGTTGCTGCGCGGCGCCGCTCAGACGTGTCGCTCAGAAGCGTTGCTCAAATTGTCGCCCAGAAGTGTTGCTCACATTGTCGCTCAAGGGTGTTGCCAAAAGTGTCGCTCAGACGTGCCGCTCATTGCTCAGAGGCGTCGCAAACGCGTCAGTTCTGACCGACACTTCTGGTCGACACTTCAGGGCAACACTTCCACGCACATACCACGGGGTCTGAGCAAGACCTCAGGCGACAGTCCTACACACACACACACGTAAGCGACACGCCTGGGCAACACGCCTGAGTAACCGAAGCGCCGCCCCTGCCACGAAATCTGCGCACAAGCTCGAAAGCGCTGCGCTCGCCACGAAATCTGTGCGAAAAGCTGCAATGCTCTATAGAGCTGCGCCCGGCACGCCAAGCGGTCTTGCCACGAACTCGAGATCCTCCAAAGTACTGCGCCGGCCACGCAATCCCACTTTGCCACGTTTACGACAACACGCGTCCAAAATTTGCACGGGACTGCGGCGCCAGAATGACTTCCATCGGTTTTGGCCCGAATCAAGCTCGCCGAAACCAACCCAATTGCACGACGGCGCCAACAAAAACGACACTCGCACAAACGCTTGCACGCGCCTGCCAAGCAAGACACATCAAATGAAGCGCAAACCACAATAGCACGGCCACACGCGAACACGCCACCTTCCAACACACTGCGCTTGCGCGGCGAAACGACACGGCGTCGCCGTAAACACAGGACTCACGCACAGGCGCAACCAGTTCAGGACTTGATCGAGAAGCCACGTTCTGCAGAGACCCCAACTGCACGGCCATACATTCCACGCCAACCCTCTGCGGACGCTACACGAAACCCGCGCGCGGGGAAAAAAACAAAGACCTGAGACTTGGTAACCTTGCGAGCCGCACGCGATGTTTGAAGTGTAAGGGCTATGCGCGGAAGCGCCGCTGTGCACACCCCTCTTCCACGCGCAACTCTCTGCGCGTATCCTCATCGGCTCAGCCAGCAGCCTCCCAGCACGTAGATATCAGGAGGCATCCTTGAGGCAATATCCGCCAACAAAACCGCGCATCGGCCGCTGGCCTCTTCTTCAGCAGCGGCAAGCACTTGCCGAGGCCTTGGCTGAGGCCACGCCTCAGCATTTGAGCCACCGCAACATCCGACTACCGCAACATCCGACTCTCAAGCTGGACAGCTTTGTGGCTTTGCGCGCCCACCAGCCCCCAGCGTAGTCTCGCGGAAGCGCATGCAGCCCACGACCTGAAAAAAACAGCTGGCAGGCAGACATGTCGCATCTTGCTTTCTGTTTTCGCTGGAAATCAACGCCTTGATGTTTCGCGTTCTGGCAGTTCCTGCGTTGCGGGCCTGAATCACCCTGCTGAGGCCCCAGCGCCTAGGGCATGCCCCAAGGCCAAGGAAAGACCTGGGTCCTGGGGATGGTTGTGGACAATGAGACAATCACAACAAGTGTTGCAGATCGGTCGCAACGCGCTCTGCACAGGACCTTCAATCTCAGAATCAAATCAACAATATCGGTTCATGTTCGCGTCATTTGCTTCGCGCAGCTGCCTTGCCGCTGCTCAGTGTGGACCGGAAGACTGCCCAACTCCGAACCCCGTCCTCCACTGCCGTCTGCAAGACACGTGGTGCACGGCGCCTGCGCGTTTAGGCTCTTCAGAGTACGCTTCTTCTTGAAAAGGATTGCGGAAGGGATGGGATATACCAAACGGCATAACTAGCAGGACTCAAACTCATGAAGCCTGAGGCTCCAAGACATCTCGACATTTGGCGCCTTCTGTAATCAAGGGCGTCTTGGCCGCGATGGCGGGCACCCTACTGACAATGGGTGGCCCTTGTCAGAACTGGGCACTTACCAGTGGAGCTACGGTGGAGTTACGGCGAAGCCGGTCAACTCATCGGTCTTGCAACAGAGAAGGCGGTTGCCGAAGGTGGAAGCGCCCGGGTGAGTGAGACAAAAAAGAAGCTTGGGGAACAGCTTTGCTCGTTGCGCATGCGAGACGAAGCGGCGCATACGAGAAGGCCCAGTATGGAATCGGCCTCTTCGAGCACGGCGATCGACGTGGACGGCACCCTCTGCTGAGGGAGGAGGCAAACACCAGATCAAAAAGGCAAACATAAAATACAAGTTGGGCAAGAAGTACCACTCGACAAGGCAACGCTGACTGCTGGTTAGGAGGGACGGCATGGAAGGGGCAAACTACATGCTCGGGCTGCACAAGCTTTGCGGGTTACGTGGGGGGGGCCGCTGAAAGCCACGTCGCACCCGTCTTCTGTTTGAAGCGTGCCACAAACACTCAAAACTCTAAAAGCTTGATTCAAAGCATGAGTGAGGGAAGCGCAGCTTGAATGGTGGAGGCTGAGCCAGTGTTAATCACATGTTAGGCGCACACTTGTGCCTTTGCAGCTCTCCAGCCTCAATACCTGCCCCAGCCTGCTCAACTTTCGGTCCAACGCCGGTCGCGACACCAAGTTGGCCTGAAGCTGCGGGCAAACAGAGGCGAGCCTCCCGTAAGCAAAGCGGCGCCAAGAAAACGCTGCGATCGCTGCCCAGGGCTTGTCAGCTTTCGTTTGTCAATGCGGGCCACACTAAGAGACTGTTGGACCAGTTATTCGCCTTGCTTGCGCCAATCCTGAAAAACTCCACATAGCGAGCAAAGCCATCTCCTTTGGGCTATCGAAGATGCGCATGTGTTTTTCCTTTCCATTTTACTTGGCATTTGTTCTATAATCTCCAAGTCAGGTCAGTGTGAGCTTGCGGGTGTCACGCCTTTATCCGCGGACCCCTTGTCTGGGACGGGTGGCCGACTGCAACCAGGGGGCGCTTGCGACGATAGTCGTGATGACACGGATGGTGACACGATGAGAATCCTCATATGCGTTGGTGGCAGTCATCATCGCGCCGCTGATAGTCATCATCATCGCCACGGCGATCATCCATTCACAGGAGCGCCGTCAGGCAGCGTTGGTGACGCAAAGGACGCAAAGGACGCAACGAGGAAAACAATCATCACATCACCGCACACGGACGATGACCAGGGATGCTACGATGATTCGTCAGCATTCCCTAACTCAAACAGTGGGTCTAGAACTAGGGGTGCTAGTCTTACTCCTTGTGCGAAATTTGCATAGCCTGTTTCAAACTTAGCGTGAACTTTGCGGCATTTGGCTCGTGGCGCCGTGCAAATGTTGCACACATTTGTTTCAATCCTAGCGTGAACTTTGCGGCACTGATGTTGTTTCTTGTCAGCTTTCAAGATTGAACTCAAGGTCTCTGGCAGGGCTGGCTCAGATTGCATGGGTTCTTTGTAAGAGCCTTGCGCACGATGTCGGAATTTTCATGGTTTAAGGGGTTATTTTCGAACACCGCGCCATTTTGAAATTTACGTTCCGTGGACAAGACAAAGGTGTCACCAGAAACTCGCACGGGGTGACGTTGCCAGGCCCTGCACACTATTGCTGAGTGACAGGCATTGCGCCGGCAAGTATGATATTCTTAGTCATGCCACAGCGGAGCAAACAGACCCAGCGCTGTAATATGTGTTTTTGACGCAGTTCAAGGGCCTCAGATCGATCCATTGCTTTTTAGAGGAAACCTCCCAACATGTGGCACAAACGGGGTTCATGCTGGAAGCCTTGCTGGACTCTGAATCGGAGGCCAATGCTTAACTCAGAACTGGTGGAGCGTGAAACCCAAAAAGTGAATTTTCCCCAAAATTTTCACCCCAAACCCTCTCTCTTTTTCCTCGCCTTTACTCCGTTTTGTACATTTTTGCTCATTTCCGCTCACTTGAGACAAAATGGGTGAAAATGAATACATTCCAAGGAGAATCAACACACGAACACTGACAGCTCCGCAGATTTTTCACTCTCGAACAAAGCAAGTGTCGTCACCCACATTATTGTGGGATTTGCATTGGAAAACACAGCAGGTTACTCCATGCTGTGGCCCAGCCATTCTGGCTGCTCCCGAAGTGCGCTCAGGATACCTTGCAGTTTCTCCTGCCGCACCTCCCGCCACAGAGCAGAGAATTGGCTGAAATCCTGGAATGCCAGGCGGTCCCCAAGCGCAGCGCGCTCTTCAAAGATCACGTCCCAACTCGGGGGGCCGGTGATCTAGGGCGGACAGGGCGGGCCCTGAGCCAGATCATCCAACTCAATCCTTAAAGAGTGAAACCTGAAACTCCTAGCCTTCCAAGACTTGATGCTGGGATACGTTCCAAGGAAAATCATGACAGCTCCGCAGATTTTTCACTCTTGAACGAAGCAAGTGTCGTAACCCACGTTCCTGTGAGATTTGCATTGGCCGACGTCCTCGGCTCTTCGGGGCACTTTGAAATATCACAGGAATTCAGCAAAAGTTACGAGCGACACGGAAGCTTCAGTAGTTGGCATCCCCCTTTGTGCAGAGGCGCACCTGCTCGTCGGACGATTGGTGCCGACCTCTTCGTTCTGCGGGGCGCGTTTCTTTCAGCAGGACGCTAGTTTCGATGCTTTATTCGGCGGGGCGGTTTCAGTCGTTTTGTTGGCCGATGCTGGAAGTTTCACTTTCCACAAGGCCTCGAGTGGGACGGGTCCTTGTGCCCAGTCTCTTTCACCGGAGAGGCTCGCGGTTGCGACTTTGCTTCTGGTCAGCAAGGCTTGGACCCTGCTGCACGTAGGCGCTGCAATGCTCTGGTGGAAGTCGTGCCAGTAACGCGCGCCGTTCCGTGGTACGCGGCTGGCAGGGCGGTGAGCCACGCTGGTCTTCGCTGGGCGACTTTGTGCTGCCCCGCACGCGCCACAGTACGGTGTTTTTTGTTTTCAGCCGGTCGGCGCCGATTTACATCGAGGTGCGGGAGCTGCCATCTTCCTATCCGACGGGGCCACCGTGCTCTTTGTTTCGGAGCAGTTCATGGTGGTTCGCGCCCTCGCGCTCCAAGCAGCCCCAAGCAGGCTCCGCAGGGTTTGGTTTTGACAACCTCGCGCCGAAAATGGCTCCGCGGTAACAGACGCCTTTCTGGAGTTGGGCTTGACCCGCGCATGGACGCGCCAGATCGAGTGCGACTCAAGCCGTGAGGCCAGGAGCCATGGGAAGCTCACCCCAGGCCAGGCGCCTGGTTTTCGAAGATGGAGAAGTTCAGAGGCAAGGGGCTTTGGTGACCACAAGAGCTCAAAGGTGGCGCACGCCCTCATATGCCTAGCCCGGCTGCGTTGCAAGTGCATCCCCTCGAGCTCCAATTGGGCTGATGTGATCAGCCGAACTGACCCGTGGTACCAGCTCAACCACTTCCAGCTGTCCTACACTGCGAACGAAAGGCCCCATGAAGGCGAGCCCTACCCCCGCAACAACATTGCGAGAAAGAACTCCAGCATGCAGCACACCATGGCTCATCCGGCTTCAAAGCGGGGAAGGGCCCCAATGTGATGACCAGCAAGATTAATGGCTCAGCACGGCCCGCGCGTCAGTGCGATGCGTTTCGCAAATTCCGCCGGCAAACTTGCAGTTGTGCATGATTTTCATGAACCGCCCACCAGCTCCAAAGATACTCCAGACCTCATTGAGTATTTGGCAGGAAGTGGAAACCTGACCAAGGAGTTTTTGCAGAGCCGACCAGAAAAAGCACGGCGCCTCACAGGGCGGCATAAGGCGCTGCGCTCCACTTTGCCACACGCCAATAGGACAGCTGGATCCCAAAACTTTGTCCAGCGCTGCAGTCGTGTTCTTTGTGAGCTACCTGCTGTTCGAGCCTCGCGCAGCCTGAATACTGCGCTGCCGCTGCCTTGCGAACTGTCCTGAGCTATGTCAATGCCCACAGGGTCAAGACTTTTGGGGCTTGCTTTGGCACATGCGCCTGGAGAGGAGTCGCCCTGCGCGTGTTCCTGCAAAGCCGGCGGTGGTCGTTAATTCAAGCACTGCGCCTGGGTCTGAGTCTCAGGTTGTTCGTAGACATTGAGAGCGGCGCGCTTGACTTGTGTTGTTACTACATATCCATCACTCGGCGTGGCCAAGGCAAGCCCAGACCTGCGCGCAGTTCAAGCTTCGCGCAACAAACTATTGCTAGCTACACGTGGCAGTGCGCGGGGAATTTTGTGGAGGGTGGAAACGGGCGCGCGAGAATGCAATTTGAACTTTGCCACGTGGATGCACAATGAACGCATGACTTGAATTGCCATTTTGGCTGGTAACTGCTCAGGCTGTTTGCCCAGCCCAGAGATGGCAAAGACTTGAAACACGGAGCGGCTGTCATACGCCAATGCGCGAGCATGTGAAAAGACGAGTGGGTGCTGACACACCAAGTCACTGTGCCATAACCATTTTGTCAAGAGACGGCAAGGTGACGTCCCGTGGGACGCTGTCCACCGAACCCTCCAGCTGCGTGTACCCAACCACGTAGAAAGGTGTATACGGTCAAACCGTTATAGACGAACCCGTGTAAACTGTTGTAAGGGATAAGGACCAATAACCACGATGGTGATCCTGGCAGCTGCGGCGCGAATGACGTATTTTCCACTCTCTATGGTCGATCACGTGCGAACGTAGTTCATGCAAGACCTTGAGCCCTACTTGTGACTTGAGCCAAATGGCAGTCAATGGAACATTGTAACCAGCAATAACACAGACCTCAGAACAGCTTCCCAATTTAGGCACGGGTCCAGGAGGGTTTTAACATCCCCCATTTGGGTCGCATCGTTCATCATGCGGTCCAAACATCACAACACGTTCCAATGGCCACGGCTCCGACTACGAAACTGTGTCGAACACTCTGTCATTCACTATTGCTACACCGTCCATTCATTGTGAAACTTGCCGGGTTCAATTGAGACTGAAACATGCATCCGCAAATCGTAGCACATTCCCATACACAGATGCAATAGGCATTTTGCCATGCACCACCACGCAACCATTGGAAAACCCGGCTGCCGCATTTGCGCATCGCGCAGCCGTCATCCATAGAAATGGGTTGGCCATAGAAATCCATAGCAGCGTATGATCATAAGCCATCTGTATATCATCGGCAAAGAAGATTTGGCGAGCAATACACGCAAAATAGCCATTCCAGATACCACGAATAATATAAGGAAAGGAAATCATCCATGAGGTAATAGTGCACATCCATGAATATCCGGAATGTCATAGCCGTTGGAATATGTAAATACATACACATCCATTCACCTTGGACGCATGAAATTCTATCATGTCAAAGAAATGTTCCATCGTAACGAAATCGATGAGACGCAAGCGATGGATGGGGACCAGCCCACATCATGCCGCAATCTATATCGAAGTGAATTCTATATGCTGCTGCTGATGGATGCACCATACCGCATAAGCAATGATAATCCACATCTGCATCACGTAGGTCGGTCCCCAATGGTCAACCTGTTGATGCGTCGACGGAGCTCTTCGTCCAAATGTTGTTGGGCATCTCGTGCCCGGACGCACTTCTTGTGATGCTCTTCTGGTAGCCAGTGTCCCTTTCGGAGACACCAATCCA